CTAACGAACGAACGAAGAACGAACGAACGAACGAACGAACGAACGAACGAAACGAACGAACGAACGAACGAACGAACGAACGAACGAACGAACGAACAACGAACGAACGAACGAAAACGAACGAACGAACGAAGAACGAAACGAACGAAAACGAACGAACGAACGAAAACGAACGAACGAACGGAAACGAACGAACGAAAAACGAACGAACTAACAACGAACGAACGAACGAACGAACGAACGAACGAACGAACTAACGAACGAACGACGAACGAACGAACGAACGAACGAACGAACGAACGAACGAACGAACGAACGAACGAACGAACGAACGAACGAACGAAACGAACGAAAAACGAACGAACGAACGAACGAACGAAACGAACGAACGAACGAACGAACGAACGAACAACGAACGAACGAACGACGAAACGAACGAACGAACGAACGAAAAAAAAAACGAACGAAAACAAACGAACGAAAACGAACGAACGAACGAACGAACGAACGAACGAACGAACGAAACGAACGAACGAACGAACGAACGAACAACGAACAAGAAACGAACGAACGAACGAACGAAGAACGAACGAACGAAAACGAACGAACGAACTAACGAACGAACGAACGAGAACAACAACGAACGAACGAACGAACGAACGAACGAACGAAACGAAGAACGAACGAACAACAAACGACGAACGAACGAACGAACGAACGAACGAAAACGAACGAACTAACGAAACGAACGAACGAACGAACGAACGAACGAACGAAAACGAACGAACGAACGACTAACGAAAACGAACGAACAACGAACGAACAACGAACGAACGAAAACGAACGAACGAACGAACGAAGAACGAACGAACGAAACGAACGAACGAAACGAACGAACTAACGAACGAACGAAAAGAACTAACGAACGAACGAAACGAACGAACGAACGAACGAACGAACGAACGAACGAACGAACGAACGAACGAACGAACGAACTAACTAACTAACTAACGAACGAACGAACTAACGAACTAACGAACTAAGAACTAACTAACTAACTAACTAACGAACTAAACTAACTAACTAACTAACGAACTAAACGAACGAACTAACTAACTAACTAACTAAAAACTAACAAAACTAACTGACTACTAACTAAACTAACTAACTAACTACCTAACTAACTAAGTAGTTATATGGAGGCTCGTTTGTCATTCCTTAACGAAAAAATCAGTACATTTTTAACAGTTCTACATCTTTCTTCAAAAATTCTATTCTACATTACGTAAGCGTAAGCTTTAAGCTATCTAGTACTTATTTCTCATGTCTTGTCTTTAGTTCCAGACAGGACCATATATCCTTTTTATTAGAGATGTTTAAAAATTGTGAAAAATTTAAGAATTTTTAAACAAAACCAATTTTCATTCTTAACAGAATATTTGTTTGACTGTTTTACCTAATTATTATTTAGCATATTTTTGGAGTTGTTCATTTCCTTAAAAACAAAAATTACTATTAAAGCCATATTAATAATTTTTTGAAGCCTTGAAAAAATATTTTATATATTTTTGTTTAACAAAAATAAAATTGTATTTAATATTGCAACGGTTACAAACACTGAAAATATTATTTCATTTCAATTAAAAAATTTTCTTCTACACTGCACAAAATATTTTGTGGTTTTACGAGTAAAATATACGAAGGTGTGCGAAAATAAAAATCAAAAATTCATTCAAATTTTGTAAATTTTAACTACTTACGTTTTCTTACGGATTACAAGTATAACTTTTGAACAACACTTTTAAATAAGGTCTATTAACTTTCTTAATCAATCAATTAGTTATTCTATACTTTACCTATAATATCCCTAAGAAATCTAGTGTTAAACGAGATTTTATTTCTACTTTTCGAATAATAAAGAAAAATTTTCTTAATAATCATAAAATTTTAAGAAATATATATCATAAATTATTTGCAGTGTATGTATACAAAATACTTTCAAGGTACAGGAAAATACATTTTACTACTATTTTTGTTTTACTTCAACAATTTATATTTTTATTCTCCAGTTGCCGTTTTTTTATTATTATTTTATTATTATTAAAATTCTTGATACCGAAATGTATATAAAAATATATACATATTTACAAATATTCAACACACAAACCATACAAATATTAAAAAAAAATATTGTATATTGTGTCCCATATTTTGTTTATTTATCGTCAATTGTCGACTAAAGTGCTCTCAAGTGAAACATTTTAATAGAAAGCGGTTTTTCCAAAGCTTTCATTTATTTCTGTTTATCAATTAAATTTCAATTATTCAAATGAAATAAAATAAAATGAAATGAAAAGAATGATGGTTTACATTACAATTTCAAAAATAAATAACATTTTTCAACAACAAATAAAATACAATTGGAAAAAAACAACAACAACATCATTATCATCATCATCCTCGTCAACATTAACAACAGCAACGTCATTATCATAGTCATCATTATCATTTAGCAAATAATAGCAAAATTTAACAACAACATCATCAACTACAACATTATTGTTTATTATCAATAGATAGAAAACACAAGTTTTTAATCATGAAATTTTTTATTTAAACATTAAATAAATATTTGAAATTTATATATAATTTTTTTGCTTGTTTTTGTTTTGAAATGAAATGAAATTAAATAAGCAAAATTAATTTTATAAATCATTGAAATCCTTTTTATAATTGTATATTTGTTTGTGTGTATTTATGTGCGTGCAACTGAATATAACTAAGCCATGGTAACAATGGAACAAATAAAACATTACACGTTTATTGCTTTGGAATTTTTGTGCTCTAAATTAAATTAATGGCCAAATCCTTTGTTAAGGTGACACCAGCCATATTATTACAACAATACGTTTGAAGTTCAATGGTTAGCAAATGTAAATCATTGGATAAATTTAATTGGAAAAAAAACTAAGTTGATATCACCACAGATATTTTTATTTAATATATATATAGTAGTACGTTTTATTACTTTATATTTGGTTTAAATTACTTAACTGTTTATGGATTTAAAAAAATATTTTTTGTAAAATTTTTTAAAATTTGTAATCAAGCTAAACTGGCTATATATATGTATGTTGTAAAAATCAAACCTTCTTATGGTTTTATATAATTCAGCAATATACAATTTATACAATAAGTTGTGAGTATCATTAAAGTTTAATGACATAGGAGGCAAGTACTTACCACGATCGCTTACATGTAGTAAGTTTGGTAAGTACTTACAATGATCGCCTGCAAATAAGGAGTTAAACAGAAAGTTTAGATTTTGAGAAAAAAACATTTTTTGTGTGAAACAAAATTTTAAACCAAAATGTCAATATTAACAAGTAAGAGTGCTATATTCGGCTATGCCGAATCTAATATACCCACCATCAAACCGTATGCCGTAAAAGAAATGCTCTCCTATAATAAAAAAATATAAAAATCATGGTGATAGTTCCCATCAAATTTACTGGAGAGGGCCTTATATGAGAGGTAGGGTGAATTATTGACCGTTTTTATAAAATTTTTCATAATTTTTTTAGACCGATTTTGGTTCATACAAAACATATTTGCATCGAATATCAGTTCCCGAGACTTTCCGCATTAAATTCGGTAGGAAGATTTACGTTCCTATAAAAGTTTCTTAGGTTCGTAAGAAACTTACTTATGTCAAATTTCATCTATACACTTGTACTTTTAAGCAAGTAATGAGCTTTAAAGTAATTATCTGGAGGGGACCTTATATGGGGGTAGGGTCAATTATGGACCGATCCACATAAAAATTGCTAGAAAGGATTTTGCTAGTAAGAGACTTAAGACTAGAGACTTAAGCCCAATTTCATTGCTTTACCCGTATTTTTAAGCCAGTAATGAGTAGTTTTTTGAGGGGGACCTTATATGGGGGTAGTGTCAATTATGGACCGATCCATAAAAATTTGTATAGAAAGATTTTGGCTCACATGGAACTTATCGCTATACTCTTATTTTTAAGACAGTAATTAGCGTTAAAGTCTTTTTCTGAAGGGCACCTTATATGGGGGGTAGGGCCAATTATTGACCGATCCACATACAATTTGGTACAGAGGTTTTGACTTGCATGAAACTTCTGTGTGTTTAATTTCATCGCTATATTCCTATTTTTAAGCCAGTAATGAGCATTAAAGTATTTTTTCGAAGTGGGTCTTATATGAGGGGTAGGGTCAATTATGTACCGATCCACATAAAATTTGGTAGATAGGTTTTGATTCGCATGAAACTTATGTATCGCATGAAACATTTGTATGGAGGCTATCCGAAAACGTCAACCGATATTGCCCATTTTCAATACCAAACAAACCTTATCTATAAAGAATATTTGTGCTTTCAACAGATAGACAGACAGACGGACGGACATGGCTAGATCGTCTAAGAATTTAATAAGGACCCAGAATATATATACTTTTGTGGATCTATGACCAATATTTTGATATGTTACAAACGGTATAACAAAATCAATATACCCCCCATCTTTTTGTTGGTGGATATAAAAAGTAAATACTTAAATATATAGCTATTTGTAAGTCATTACTAGACACCATCTACATAATGCTGGCAGTATGTAGTAGTCATAGAATAGTAAGCTCTTGAGTAGGTACAAGTTATTGCCATGTTTTTGTTACTCATTTTAACATTTACAGTATATGTCAAATAATTACTTTACTTATAACAAGTTATCTAGCATATAAGCACTTTTTTATTATGTATTATATTTCAAGGTTTCTTAAACATCCCGTACGCTAACTCATTTTTAATTGACATTAATTTTCTGAAAAGTTTCAGTTCTTCTTCTAAAGGAAATTGGTTTAAAGTTATGGCTTGAGAAAATGTGTACTTATTAAATAAATTTTTAATAATTTATAATTATTTATGAACAATAATAACACAATTTTGTAATAATATTATTTCTTTAATCTTTACAGAAACACTTTCATCGAACCTCATTGTTAATTAAGGCTTTTAATCATAAGTTTCGTTTAGATCTGGAATTAAATTCGTAAGTAATTTTTATAAATTTTTTTGTTATTTATTGACTTTAATAAAGGTGAGAAAAGGCTAAAACGTTTGAAAAATAAGGCTAGAAAAAGTATAACTTTTGATACTCTAAAATCTGTACTAAAAATGTGAAAAATTATAGTTCCGACCATATGATACCTTAAAACAATGATATTTGAAAGATATAGAATGAAACTAGATCCAAAATTACCAATTCTCACAAAATTTGATTAAATGTTTATATTGTGCTCTTCAAAATTACGATTCATTTTCAAGTTCAAAATAGCAAAACATTTTTTTTACGTGTTAAAGAAATATGTAAAGTTCTTCTCTACAATAGGCGTATACTTGATATTGGTAATATCGATAAATCATTAACACGTATACGTACAGGTGTCGTCAATAAAAACAGTGCACTTTCATATTTCCATGATTGAAAAAATGCACACAGTGTAATTATGACTAATAATTGTAATCAAAAAATAATACAAATTGTGATACATTTGTTATAATAAATCCTAGAATTTTCAAATCTAGAAAAATTTACCATAGATTATTTTCAGTGTATTTTGTATAAAAAAAAAACAAATATATTTTTATATTCGTATTCCTCCCTCTCAAAGGTATCTTCAAATCATTTTCTTTTCTTATTACTATTAAAAAACAAACTTAAACAAATTAAATTTAAGCGGTTTATGTTCTTGAATAAACAATAAAGCTGTCAGAAACCACTAACTAAAGGAAAATCCCAGAAACAGTCTGGAAATTGTTCCTCAATTCAAGCATTTTAATACAATTTATATACATACATAAAAAAACTAACCCTTATTAAAACCTTATTTTTCTTCTCCCTTAAAATAGGGATTTAAAAAAAGCATTCTAAACAATTGTCTGCTCTACATATATTTAGCCTTAGCCACATTATCTTATTAAATATTTAACACAAAAAAAATTATGGTAATATAAAATTTTACTTGTAATCTAAATAAAAGTGTTAAAAAATAAACTTCCTGCTTAACGTCACCGAAAATTGAGGCAAAAAACCCCTAAAAAAGCAACAAATCCGTTCCTCAGGTCAAAACTTACATCCGTTGACCGAAAATTCTGCCCAAGTACTGAAGGGGTAATATTATGCAAAAGGCCTAAGAAAGAATAAAATGTATTTTTCATTTTTGTTTAAATATCAAAATGAAAATGTTAATAAACTAAACAAAAATGTTATTTTATTTGCTGTGTTTATTTAAGGCGAGGTCAGCGTTATAGTAAAAAAACAACACAAAAATAACAATTATTTATAAAATATTTAACAGCAGGCCTTTTTAAAATTAGGCTAGAAAAATATTTGCAAAATACTTAAAATGTTAATATAAACATTTTATTAAATTGAATTTAGTGGGAAAAATATAATCTAAATAATTTTTTAAATATTTTATTTTTAAATAGAAATAATCAAGGCTAAATATATTTGATAGGATTTTGTGCAAGAGATTTAAATTATTTTAAAGTATTTAAGCCAATCCATATAAACTTTCACAAGTCCTAAGTTGTTACAGATGTGTAAAAATAGGAAGTATATAGTATATTGTATTTTTATTGGGTTTTTGCTGATGTTTGTAACACAAAAAATATTTGTTTTATACCTACATTAAATAATACCAATCGGCTTGAAATCATTTTCTGAGCCTATTAAACCATGTCCGTCCGTCAAGTGTCCTTGAAAAGCTTGTGAGCGAGTTACATCTATTGAAAGTGGTCTATTATTTCATCTAGCCCTCATACAACAGAACCGCCGAAAAGGGCTTTTGAGCTCATAATTGTGTTAAATATATCTCGATTAAAAACAGCACTACTAAGATTTATGCACGCTTTAATAATCTTGCCAAATTCGTAATGCTCGGACCCCATTTGGTAGGTCCCACACAAAGTCCCCTTCCGAAAATGACTGAATGCCCACAATTCATCTATAAGCTCTGAAGTAACCACAAATAAATATATATAAATTTATGCAGCACATTTTATCGGGATTGGTCCACACTTTCTCTAGTACCCACATGAAGTCTATTTTATAAAATTGTAAGGCCATTTCAGAAAATTAGTTAGTTAGTTAGTTAGTTAGTTAGTTAGTTAGTTAGTTAGGTTAGTTAGTTAGTTAGTAGTTAGTTAGTTAGTTAGTTAGTTAGTTAGTTAGTTAGTAGTTAGTTAGTTAGTTAGTTAGTTAGTTAGTTTAGTTAGTTAGTTAGTTAGTAGTTAGTTAGTTAGTTAGTTCGTTAGTTAGTTAGTTAGTTAGTTAGTTAGTTAGTAGTTAGTTAGTTAGTTAGTTAGTGTTAGTTAGTTAGTTAGTTAGTTAGTTAGTTAGTTAGTTAGTTAGTTAGTTAGTTAGTTAGTTAGTTAGTTAGTTAGTTAGTTAGTTAGTTAGTAGTTAGTTAGTTAGTTAGTTAGTAGTTAGTTAGTTAGTTAGTAGTTAGTAGTTAGTTAGTTAGTTAGTTAGTTAGTTAGTTAGTTTAGTTAGTAGTTAGTTAGTTAGTTAGTTAGTTAGTTAGTAGTTAGTTAGTAGTTAGTTAGTTAGTTAGTTAGTTAGTTAGTTAGTGTTAGTTAGTTAGTTAGTTAGTAGTTAGTAGTTAGTAGTTAGTTAGTTAGTTAGTTAGTTAGTTAGTTAGTTAGTAGTTAGTTAGTTAGTTAGTTAGTTAGTTAGTTAGTTAGTTAGTTAGTTAGTTAGTTAGTTAGTTAGTTAGTTAGTTAGTTAGTAGTTAGTTAGTTAGTTAGTTAGTTAGTAGTTAGTTAGTTAGTTAGTAGTTAGTTAGTTAGTTAGTTAGTTAGTTAGTTAGTAGTTAGTTAGTTAGTAGTTAGTTAGTTAGTAGTTAGTTAGTTAGTTAGTTAGTTAGTTAGTTAGTTAGTTAGTTAGTTAGTTAGTTAGTTAGTTAGTTAGTTAGTTAGTAGTTAGTTAGTTAGTTAGTTAGTAGTTAGTTAGTTAGTTAGTAGTTAGTTAGTTAGTTAGTTAGTTAGTTAGTTAGTTAGTTAGTTAGTTAGTTAGTTAGTTAGTTAGTTAGTTAGTTAGTAGTTAGTTAGTTAGTTAGTTAGTTAGTTAGTTAGTTAGTTAGTTAGTTAGTTAGTTAGTTAGTTAGTTAGTTAGTTAGTTAGTTAGTTAGTTAGTAGTTAGTAGTTAGTTAGTTAGTTAGTTAGTTAGTAGTTAGTTAGTTAGTTAGTTAGTTAGTTAGTTAGTGTTAGTTAGTTAGTTAGTTAGTTAGTTAGTTAGTTAGTGTTGGTTGGTTGGTTAGTTAGTTAGTTAGTTAGTTCATTTGTTTCGTTTTCTACTTACCTGATTTTTCCTTCGCTTACATTCTTTTTCATTAGCAATAATTTTCTCTAAGACCTTGTTCCATAACTATTAAAAATTCTAAAAAAAATTAAATTCTCCGGAAAAACTTATTAACACAATTGTTGTCCCTGGTGATCGGAAGGTGTATATCATTTTATACGGCCATAAATTTTGTTTTTATCGCTGTTTCCTGTAATACCTTTTTATTAAAGCATATTTCTTTTTAGAGTTTAACACAACTTAATTTGATTTTATTTATCTTGTTAAGTAAGCTTTTTCTCTAAAAAAAAATTGATTTACACACTTATGTCAGCCCACCTTAGTTGAATTTTAATTTTATTATATAGGTTTTTTTTTTTGCTCTTCCAAAGATTTGGCTTTAACGTTCTTCCGGTTTTTCTCGTGAAAACTTCAACAGAAGGACAATAACAACTATCAAGTCAACACCAAAGCAGGAAAATAAACACACTCATATATTCTCACATACTTACAAATATATAAAGGACAATAATGGTCATAAGAATTAAGGTTTGATTTTTTTTCTTTTTCATTTTGCAAAAAAAAATAAACAAAATTTTATTGTCCTGTCTTGTCTTGTTGTTGCGTTATTGTTGTCATTTTACAACCCGGATGACTTCTCATCTTGATACACACATACATATATATTGTGCTCCTCTTTCTTACAGTTTATTATTGCTATTGTTGTTTTTTTTTTTTAATTCCCTGTTGTCAGCCCATAAAGAAAACCCAGAAAACCAGAACAATAAGTAAGCCAAAGGAAGAAGGAAAAAATCGAGGCACAAAAAATACTATCTAGAGTAAAATAAAACAAATTTTGAGTGCAAATTACGGCTAAAGCCTAAAACACTTAAAATGCCAAAGATTTCTTGACCTTTTCATCAAGTTAATGAAGAGTATAAAAAAACAACCCAGCAACAATAAGAGCATTACACCAAGTACAATTATTATTTTTTGTAATATTAACAAAGTACACAAAAAATACTTTATAAAAAATTCAAAAAAAAATGTTTGTTAATAAAATTTTTCCTTAAAAAAAGGACTTAATGCTGGACAATGAAATTAAATTCCTTTTTCATAATGTTACTCTTGATTTTTTTTTTGTCTCGCTGTTAATTTTATTCACTTTATTTTATTGTTTTCTTTTTTTTTAATTCTCTATTTAATTTTTTTTTCCTTTTCCACTTTCATTCGCTGGAGCAATTGTGGTGGTGTCGTTTGACTCATAAAAATTTCATTTTTATACGTTTCACTTTATAACACCGCTAATTAAGTATAATATGAATAAAAAGCAATAGAATCATGTAAAATATGTATTTTTTACATTGTTTTCTTGTTACTTTTTTATTAGTCGTATTTCACGGTACAATTTGTTAAGGTAGAGTAAAGTTTTTAATGGGATTTTTTTTTTATTGATTTCATTGTTGTTTAAATTTACGTGTTGCGGTTTATATTTAACGGAAATACTTGCTTCGCTGCTAATCAAATTGCAGTTTCTTTGCATACTTTGTGGCTGACGCTTTTCACTGGAAATTGAAAATTGCCATTAGTTTTTAAATTCTAATGGAGTTGGTCATATACCTAATTTAGTTAGGGCATCAACTGAACCCTTTATAACCATCAAAATATAAACGAAGTAATGATTGATGACATTAAAGAAGTAGTTT